GAATGCTTTGAAATCTTGGGAATATTTTAAAGTTATTATAAGCATGGTAAACTTTTGTTCAAAATGTATTTGTTCATCCCTCCTAAAAAAATTGATGACGTCACCCTTAAATTTTGCTGAATAAATCCTATCTAAAATGCAAAAAATACGATGAGTTTGTACTTGTGATTTATCATTCCATTCATATTTTTTAGATTTTCTTAAGAGGTGGTTCAAAAAAATTAATGAAGTCAATTTATTTTATTGATTAAATTAAAGGCAACACTTATTATTAGTATTACACCCCAACCAACCCAATTTGGTAGACACAAAATTTGTTAAAGGAAAAACTCGGTTGAAACATAAGGGTAGCACGCTTATTTACATCGACTTTAACATTACAGACCTGCATTTGTTTTATGCGTTCACTTGATTCCGCGAATGTGAAATAGACATGTTTATAATCAACCAATTGTGAATTTCACCGTCAAGAATTAAAATAAAACCCAATGTTTTATATAATAAGCGGAAGTCGAAGCAATAAAACCGACGGTCGTTTTGTTTACAGTTTCTGTGTTTGGCTCTCACGTATGCTGTTACGCCTGTCATCTTAAATTAACAATGTTTATACATACACGATTTTCAGTTGCCTCTGATACGTAGGTATACGTGAGTAAATTGTTTCGTTATTTTATTGATTATTACAAATCAATATTCAAACGACCCAATTCATTTTCCCGAAAATTTGAGAATATAATAATTTTATTCTTAGTATTACACTACATCTATCCCAACTGATATACGTGTCCTTGCAAAAATGTTGATGACGTCATCGCAATTTTTTTTTAAATTCCCACTACAAAAATGTAATGAGAAAAAAAACACAATAGGCATGCAGTCGTCAAGTTTCCGACAGCGAGGGAAGTACTGTCTAAACTCTTTAGACCAATTTTTTAGATTTGCTTTTAGAGTGACTCAAAAAAATGTATGGATCTGTCAATTTATTGTAGTGAATAATTCAAGAGTGGAAGAAATGTATACTTTGAGATCTTGCAGACGTTTTAAAATTATTGTAAGCATGGTAAATTGTTAAGAATAGTTATTTACTCTCCCCAAAAAATTGATGGAACGGCTTACTCTATTTTCGCAGATAATTTTGGGAATACAATACAGTTATTTTTAGTATTACACTACACCAATCCGAGGTGGTATACCTGTTGATCGTAAATGTTGATTAGGTCATCAAAAAATTGTGTGAAGAAAAGACTCAACTTGAAAATGCTGAATATTGTGGTGACCGAATTTAAATCAAACTTTTCGCGCTGAAATTAATTAACAGCGGCGCGAAATCGCATTTGAATAATTTGAATTTAAAAAAAAAAAAAAAGAAGGTTCAATCACGAAAAGGAACTCCTTAAACATAGGCAACCAAATATGCATGGAAGTTCTCTTGCACGTAGCGCTTAGGGGTTAGTTTGCATGATGTTTGAGTAGATGGCAGCACGTAGCGCTAGGGTAATTTCAGCTAGAGGGTTGGTAGAAAAGCGGCATGGCGGTAGAGTGGGTCATTCTGGTGTGTTTCGTGTAAGTGTAACAACGTGGTAAGAACTAGGTTTAAATTAGTTGGTTTGGTAGTTAATAAAACGGGAGGAAGCCTTTGTTTAACGACGATCAAACGTATTTTTCATAATGATACAGTTGTCCCCAACCCGCGCGTTAAATTCTTGCGCCCTTTTAATCGAAAATTGCAGACTTCCGGTCGGACGCGAACACGTGTTGTGAATCTGTTTCTTTGTTTGTAAATTCACCAATCAAGCTAGTTTTTCTTAATAGTCAGCTAGTGCAAACACAATTTAACAATCAGGATTATTTAAATTAACCATTTGCTAGAAGATTTCATGAAATTCACTTAGTCAGGAAAAACACCTTATGTTTAATTACGAATAGGTCTCTGGATGCATATACGTAAGTGTTACATTATAACACTTCTAAATTCTTCACACAAGATTGCTAATAGTTCATTTACGGCAGTTAAACAAGTTCATTATACTGCGGACTGGCGGGGGGGTTATGATATTTTCTCCCCTTAGGTGGTTATCATCGTTATCAGGATTAATTCATCGGGGCATGTTTCGCAACGCCAGATTGATTAATTAAGGCATGCCCCCAACGCTACAGAAAATTTACATTACCGAGACGCTTTTTCCTCGCAACGATTTTGGAATTTACATCTCCGAGACGCTTTTTCCCTCGGAGCGATGATTGGAAATTTTTGTATTTGTTTATTATGTGTTTTGTTGGGGTAACCAGTTCGTAGTATTTTAACTTCTCAAAGTAAATTATTTTTGAAGTAACCAATCATTTAGATCATGATATAATTTGGCATAATGTAAACTCTTTGTTTGAACCGTTGATAAAGTGTGGCAAAAATTAATCTCATGTAAATTTTGTTAACTCTGCAAATTTTCACATCATACAATATTTCTTTAATCTCACAATTTTAACCTCAGTAATTTTATTTGTTGTATAATTTTAATTGAACCTAAATTTCATATTTTACATTTTTATTCTCACATAATAGTTCTAGTTGTACAAGTTTATTTCCCACCAGATCTTTCGTTGCATAAATCCTTGCTAAGTTTTGTTTTGTAAATACTTTGTTGATGAATGTTTCTATCCTATGAATTATTTGATGTCCGACTTTAATCTCGCATAAGAATTATTTGTTGTTTGAAATTTCACAAGGTTGTATGGCGAATTTAAATGTTGTTTATTGCTCTTTGAAACTTTAACACTTGTTCAGTTGTTGTTAACATCAGAGTTATAAGAGATTGAATATTTTAAAATGGAACTGAAGTTAAATGACACAGAAAACGTGGCAGAAGCGAAGTTCAGTTCCTAGTCGAGCTGGCGAGATTTATCGTGCCACCTGTACAAGTCCACAGGTTTGGATAGATTCAGGGGGCGGCCGCCGACGTTGTGAATTTCTCGATTTGGCCCAATAGTCGAGATCTTTGCGGGTTGGACGACCGTAATGGCCTAGTTCCGCAGGGCAAAGTTCGTCATGGGATATGCGTGTGGGGTAGGCTTTGCGATAGATAGAATCACCGTCGCGGGGGGAGAACAGTTCCAGACCGGTAGCTCTGACTCCGCTTATGCTACAACGCTCTAGGGGTACTTTTCTTGTGCTCCTGTTAACTGCCGTAACAAAAAAAAAAAGGAAAAGGAGATCGGCCGCCACACGCCTGTAATAACTTGTGTACTTGCATCCAGTGACTTGATTCAGCTTTTGCTTTGTTTTACTAAATTTGTGATATTCAAATATTTGCATTGATTCCAAACAGATGTACAGAATTTCCGTTTGTTCGTTTTTCGTGTGTGTATGTCTGTCAATTCGTGAGTGTTTTTCTTTCACATATCTTAAGGTGTTTGAAATGTAATATGTCGTCCGGGAATAAAAAACCAAAAGGGGGTTTTTACGCTGAGGAGTAAATCTTCGAAGCGCCTTTCCCCCTGTGAGGGTGCCGTACTCGCCCTCCAAAACAATTTTGTCTATTATTTCTTGCGCTCTCGACGGTGTATGCACTTGTATGAAAGAACGTCTTCCCGCCATTTTTCAAAACAAAAAAAAAACACACAACGTAGGTTCTCATTTGTTAGACGATCACAGCCAAGGCCAAACTTTGAATTTTTGAATTTTTCGCGGGCCTTTCAAACTGTTTCAAGGTCAATTTTAAGGCGGGAAGTTTGGGTTATCACAATATGTTTCATGTACTTTTGGTGCGAGGGAAGTTCTGTCGAAACAACGGTCGATCAATTTTTTGACAATGGTTGATATAAATAAAACTCAGTAGATGCTCATACTCGAAATACGAAGTATCTACTCGAATATCAAATCAAAATATTTCTAGTTTTTCTATATAACGTATGTAAGTATGTACGCATTATACGTACATCATTTGTTACGTACTTCAGTACGTAACAAATGATGCTCAAGTAGCATCTCGATATAACAAAAAAGGAAAACAGTGACAGTGTCCATCAAGGCAAAACTCGAGTCACCAAAATATAAATTAATATGGGGTAGACACCTTGAGATGGGAATCTCTCTGTTAGAAAAAATGCACTGCACAATTTATGCATAAATAAAAGTCAATTACCTGAAAAATTTTCGATATTCCCGCTTCTAATGTGTTTTTCAAACTGAATGCACCTTTGACGACGTTCCACGTTCATGAAAGTATCCATGTTTAGTCAAAATTCACTCTTACAACGATCCTACTCGTTTTCTAAGCTGCTTTACAGACAGCTCAGTCATTTGCCACGCCGATGCTCATTTTTAGATTAAATGCTCACAAAACGCATAGGTAGATGTTCAATTTGTGTCCGGGGAGATACAATGTTTTCAAGTAGGTACTCAGTACATAGAGTAGATGCTCAAGTATATAAGAGTAATAATGAAGTAGGTACTTCGTACTTCGAATATGAGTATCTATTCAGTTTTATTCATACCACCCAATGGGCCGTATGATTAAAAGTGAGCATTTGCTCGTACTCGTTGTTTTTGGAGCATATGCTTCGCTATATATGAATAAAACAGTGAGCAAACGGTTTTGCTCATACTTTGGTGTTGGAGCTTGAGCAAGTGCTCTAAATTTGAAGTAGCTGCTTACACTTGAGCAAATGATATGAATAAAAGAGAGCGTTTACTTACATTATGGAGCACTTGCTCACAAATTGATGCGTCTGCTATAAAGGAGACGCAACTTCTGTTGGATGGAACAGTATTTCGGAAAATGGCAGACATGGTTGTTCTACGAAAAACTAAACATTATAAGGAGCGTAGGGAAACCAACATAGGTGACTATAAAACCTTGTACAGGTAAGCGTAGAACATTTGTCATTATAAGTATACGATTAATAGCACGTATTGCAGATTTTCTGCAGAAAATGTTACTTGGTTAGCAGATTACTTTTTAAATGATTGTACTGAAACCAGGGGAGGTGCTTTGTCGCCAAAAATGAAAATGAAAATTTTTTTGAGGTGTTTAGCCAATCCCGGTTTTCAGTCAGGAATAGCAGAAGAATTAGGCGTTCATCAGTCGACAGTATCAAAAGTAGTTACATTTGTCACAACAAGGGTCACAGCAAAAGTTTCATCATGGATCAAATTTCCGCACACTGAACAAGATATTTTGCAGGCATTAGAAGACTGGCAAAATGTCAATCACTTTCCGGGGGTCATTGGGGTCATTGATTGTACCCATATTAGAATTGAAAAACCAGGTCGTCATGGGGATGAATATATCAATAGAAAAGGATGGCCCAGTATCAATGTACAAGCGACTTGCAACGCCCAAGAAATGTTTACAAGTGTTGATGCCAGTTGGCCAGGTTCGGTGCATGATACTAGAGTATGGAAAAACTCCACAATTCGGGAAGTTGTGCAAAAGTTTCCGAATGCTAGCTTATTGGGGGATCAGGGATATGGCTTGGAACTGTCACTATTGACACCGTATAGAAACACAGATACCGAAGCAAAAATACACTATAATCGGCTGTTGAAACGAGAACGTTGCATTATTGAACGCTGTTTTGGCCAAGTGAAACGGCGATTTCCTATACTGAAATATATATGCAGATTAAAACTTAGGAGAATATCACGTATTATTATTTGTTGTTTCATCATGCACAACATAGCAAAGCATCTTAAAGATGAAGAGTTTCCTGAAGAAGAAGATGAAGACGACACTGATGAAAATGATGAAGACGACAATCAAAATCAACATATCCCTGACAACGAGATGTTGCAACGTGCACGTGTAAAACGAGATGAAATTGCTGATATAATTGTTCGACGTCACCTTTATTAGAAGACGTTTCTTAATTAAAACAGACAAAAAAGAGTTGAATATGCATTGTTAAATATCGTTTATTTGGTATAATGCACATATTATCACTGTCAGTTTATTCCAGTCGTTCCATTTTCTTCAAAATATACTCTCTTTGTATCCTTGCGGTTTTTAGTTGCTCCAACAACACAAGTCTTTGTAGTTCCGTTGTGGTTAAACTGTGTGTTTCGTCAGTCTCGTAGTTGTAAAGTTTTGACTTCTTGGGCTCGGGAGAACGTCTACTCTTTTCACAGTTCTTTTCCTCTCTGTGTTTGGGCTCACATTCTTGTGCCCTTTTCGCCATACCTGCTACAGCAGGTTCTACAAAAAATGTTATTTTATAGAATTATAGAGTTTATTATGTAAAATGGTATATTATGTGTATTAAACACAGATGCGATAGGTACCTACCCGGAATTTTGTTGATTGTTGGATTATCATCTCCTTCAAGTATCTTATACAAGACCTTCTCCCACTCATGCAAAGTAATGCGTTTGTTTCCGGTCTTCTGTTTGTCGGTCTTCTTCTTGAGCCGCGATTTCATATTGTTAATTTTTTTCTTCAAATGTTGTTGGCTGATGCGAAGCCCTAAGTGGACTTCATACAATTCCACCACCTCCAGTAAGGATTTTTCTTTTTTTGCTTTTTCATTTGGTAACTGAGATTTTGATAGTAATTCAGGTCGTTTTTCGATTTCTCGGGCTATAAATAATTGTGAATTTGCAGTTTTCCCAGCACCGGACCCCGGCGATTCACAGCCACTTGACAAACTCATCTGGACAATGCACTGATGATAACCGAACTAAATGAAAATCATGGATAGCGAATTGTGGTTTTTTAAATAATCTCTTCATGGTCGTCGTTCTTATAGGAAATAAGCTATCGATGGGTGTTTTTATGAAGATAACGAATATGAGCGTTTGCTCCAGAGTAAGAAGCAAATGCTCTTAAGTAAAAGGTTTAGTTTATTCATACTGATTGAAGTATGTGCTCATACTCGTACTTTTTACTCTAAGCATGTGCTCATACTTCGTACTCGTGCTCACGAGCAATTGCTTCTTTTTATTCATACGGCCCAATGTCTCGCTTCAATGTTTGATTATGTTGATTATGAGCACAACGCTGATCAACTTCCATATCCGAATTACCCATGAAATAATTCATTGCGGATTGACTTCGTGGACCTATGTCAACTTGTCGTCTTCTCGGCATTGTAATGAACTTCATAAAACGACACAGAATTATTTTCACAGTCAATCAAATCTGTAATTTTTGTCTTGAGAATTTTAAAATATTGAAAACTTCAAATTAAATCCTCGAATAACGGTAAAGTTTGAGGTTTTGTCGAAACCAACAAAGTGACTATAGGTAAATAGAATGGCAGATTAAAATTAATATGACACTTTCGCAATGTGTAACTAAATTCACTTTAACCAAGACTTTTCTTAAAATAAACGACGTTTTTTTTTTACGAAAAAACAAAGAACGACTTGAAATGCAATATACTTTCACAATCGCACGGAAGAATTAGTTTTGTATGACACGTCAGTTAGACGACAGGTCCGTCAGGAACGCCAACTATTCAAATTAATTCGAAGTGGCGATTCCCATGCAAAATTTTTAGAATTTTTACTTCCCGAGCGTAAGCAAAGGAAGTATTGTAATCGAGTCCGTCGGCCGACTCTCTACTTTTACGTTTTCTCGATCTTTCATGACCCCTAGAAGACGAAGAAATAGGTCTCTCATTTCCGTCTGTCTGTCCGTCTATCCGTCTGTCCGTCTGTCCGTCTGTCCGTCCGTCTGTCCGTCCGTCTGTCCGTCTGTCCGTCCGTCTGTCCGTCTGTCCGTCTGCCGTCCCGGATTTTTATTAGACAGATAATCTCCGAAAGTACTCGACCGATTGTTGTGAAATTTTGTACTTATATTAAGAATATCATGTAGATGGTAAAACGCTAACCAAAATTTGTCGAATCATCCCCACCACTAAAGCGATGACGTCACTTCAAAATTGTACATAGTAAATGGGTTTTCAATTGTATAAAATAACATAGTCCTACACATGTAGTTTACAACTCTGAATCGACTTTTCACCCGAAACGTCCAGATTTTTGGAAAAAAAATCAAAATTATAAAACAACATTTTGAAATTTAATTTTTAATCTGCTAACCAGAATGCTTTGAAATGTTGCAGATGTTTTAAGGCTATAAAGAGCATCATAAATCTTTAGTCAAAAAATATTTGCTTATCCCCTCCAAAAACTTGATGACGTCAGCTCGAAAATTTGCCGAATAAATCCTATCTAAACTGTAAAAATATGATGAGTCTGTACTTGTAATTTATCACTCCATTCATATTTTTTGGATTTGCATATACAGGGTGACTCAAAAAAATTAATGAACGCGTAAATATATTTTATTGATTTAATCAGGAACTACAAAACCGAATGCTCTGAAATCTTGCAGATGTTTTAAGGTCATAAAGAGCATAATAAATGTTTAGTCAAAATATATTTGCTTATCCCCTCCAAAAACTTGATGACGTCAGCTCGAAAGTTTGCCGAATAAATCCTATCTAAACTGTAAAAATATGATGAGTCTGTACTTGTAATTTATCACTCCATTCATATTTTTTGGATTTGCATATACAGGGTGACTCAAAAAAATTAATGAACGCGTAAATATATTTTATTGATTTAATCAGGAACTACAAAACCGAATGCTCTGAAATCTTGCAGATGTTTTAAGGTCATAAAGAGCATAATAAATGTTTAGTCAAAATATATTTGCTTATCCCCTCCAAAAACTTGATGACGTCAGCTCGAAAGTTTGCCGAATAAATCCTATCTAAACTGTACAAAATATGATGAGTCTGTACTTGTGATTTATCACTCCATTGATTTTTTTTTGGATTTGCATATACAGGGTGACTCAAAAAAATTAATGAATGCGTAAATTTATTTTATTGATTTACTCAGGAACTAAAAAACCGAATTCTTTGAGATCCACTGCGAAAAAAAAAACATAATAGGCATGCAGTCGTCACGTTTCCGACAGCGAGGGAAGTACTGTCTAAACTCTTTAGACCAATTTTTTTATCTTTTAGCTGAGAGTTTGGTCTTGAAATATTTATGGAAATTCAGAGAAGGTTTAAACGGTGAGAAACAAAAATACTAAAAACAGAAATTCTATTTTCCAATACAACATGTTCTGAGCTGTGAAACATTTGATGTCTTTTGTCTTTTTAGAAATAAAAGATTGTCACTTGGTTGTAAAGAAGAAAAGTGCTGTTTTTAGGGTTTTACCGGCAATTATTCGAATTTTTCTCACCTTTTAAACCTTCCCTAGACCTCCACGGACGTTTCAAAACCAAGATAAGATAAATCCGTTCAGCCGTTCTCGAATTTTAGCGAGACTAACGAACAGCAATTGATTTTTATATATATAGATTGTTTATTGTATGTATTACTAACTTAACTTCGCAACGGTGGGTCTTGCTAATTTAGCTCGAGTGGTGTAAATGCTTTGTGGGTGTTGATGGTGCACTTGCTTGGGTATTAATTTTGCAGCAGTGCATCCTTTGGTTCCGAGTCTGAATTCTCCATGTCGTCAGACGCTCTTGGCCTGGGGGAGGCTTTGTTGGCCCTTAGACGCTGGATCGCATCATTCTATGAGAAATGGAGTCAGTCGGCCTTGGATTTATGGGGCTGCGTTCTTCCCTTGGGCTTGGGATTACTGCGATCCTATAGTTTTCGTCCGAATTACATCGGTATGCTTGCTTGGGTATTGATTTTTCAACATGCAGGTATCTCATTTCTTAAAGTGTGTCGTAACTTTTGATGCTAAAAATTTCTTCAGGTGGTGTATGTGCTTAGGTACTAACTATGCAACTGTATTATATCTGTATCTGTAGTATTTTTGGATCTGTATCTGTTCCGTATTCTGTATTGTAGCTGTATTGTATTTGTATTGTATATTGTATATTTTATTTGTATTGTATTTTTGTACTGTATAACGTGGGGGGGTTCTTTTTGGCCCTTAGACGCTGGGTTGCATCGCTCTTTGAGAATGAGGTAAGACGACCTTGGATTTATGCGGCTGCGTTCCTCCCTTGGGCGTGTGAGCGCCGCGACCTATAGATTTCGTCCCGAGTTCTATCGGTGTGCTTGCTTGGGTTTTCATTTTGCAACATTCTCAATTTTTGGTGCAATTTCTTCCGGTGGTGTATTGGGTACTAACTTTGCATTTGTATTGTATCTGAATTGTATCTGTATCTGTAGTATATTCTCTATTGTATTTCCATTGTATTGTACTGTATAACGTTCTATCCCTCATTAACAAATCCTAGCCCTCTCCTTTCCTGGCAAGACCTGCTCCAGACCTTCCCGTGGTTCTTTCTGAGCATCAACGATTCGGGCCGAAAAAATTCAAATATTTGGAGCCAGCCAAGTTGCCCAATATTAATAATAGAATAAAAAAATAAATAAAAATTCGTGAAATTCGCTCATTGGTGGCCAACGTGGAGCAAGGAGGACTTTTGTAACTGAAGCATTTATACTGTTTAAATATGATAAGCATAAATATATCACAATTAAACCGACAACCGTTTTCCTACAAACATGAAGTTATTAAAAACAATTCAGTTTGTTTAAACATTGTTAAATTAATTGATCGCTTCGTAATTTTACTCCGCAATATAAAATTTTATTCTTCTTAAATAGGTATGTTTCGTCTCTAGTTTGTAAAAAATCATATTTGTTAATTTTAAGGGGTCTCTATCTGTTGATGTATGATCAGGCACCAAATAAGGTAGATCCGCTTTTTCACATCAGTAGGATTGAATAAGCGACATCGACATCATTAATACAAGATATAACAAAATAGAAATCAAAACCCACTATTGACGTCGAACACCAACAAAATTATCCATAGTTTCACAGTAATTATCACATTTGGTTTGTCTTATCGGACAAATCGATTAATACTGATTAATCTGACATTTTTTTTTGGTTTATCATAAATTCCGCCGTATGGGAATTATTGATTTATAGGTTGCTTTATTTAACTAAAACACCAAACCCGGCAGCAACTCGAATCCAACTTATTTATCCATGAAACCGAATAAAAATTTTCGCGCGAAATAATGTAGAATTATATGACAAACGTTGCTAAGAAGGTTCCGAATTCTGTTTTTTCGGGCGCATTCGCCAATTTAGAACGTCAATCGCTTCGCTAAGTACCTACGTGTTTGTGTTTATCTCGAATTGTTTATCTAGAACGTCATGCACTAAGCACTAATATTTAATTCGTAATCTGACTAGGGATGCATATGCAATACAGGTAGTGCACAACTCAATGCATACAGAAATACTGCTACAATATATATAACATTGTTCACACATTACCGAATAAACATATTGTATGAGGGTGATTGTAAAATAAATTTACAAGTCATTACTTTTTTTTTAGGCTTTTAGGATTTATACAGCAAAATTTTGAGCTGACGTCATAAATTTTTTATTTTGATTAAACATTTATCATGCTTATCATAACTGGAGTGACTCGTTCTTAATTTGACCAATAAAAAATTTGTAATGAAGTCATCAACATGGATAATAGGTACTAGTCGCAACACAAAAGAAAAATAGTCGCAGCGTATTATCAATGCAAGAAAAAGAAAAAAGTAAACGGATTTCTGTCCGGGGTTGGTAATATCCCGGTAATATATCGTAAGAATGTTTTTGGGAAAATTTGAACCTTTAACGAAAAAACTAAAAGCGGATTCGTACACTACAAGTATAGGAGTATATTTGTGTATAAAATTAAAAGTATTTTAAAATACAATTCAATGAAATGACGCCATCAAATTATTGGCGGGGATGATTAGCCAAACTTTAAATAGTATTTAACCATCTAAGTACATGATATTTCTAACATACATACAAAATTTGACAACAATCGATTCAGCAGTTTCGGAGATTACTTGTCTAATATAAATGGATACAGACAGACGGAAACGGGAGACTGCTTTTTTCGTACTGTTGGGGTCATGAAACGTCGAGAAAATATAAAAATGGTCATTCGTCCCATGGACTCGATTACAATACTTCTTTCGCTTACGCTCGGGAAGTAAAAATAAAACTACGAACATTTTGCTTTGTTGGTTTGTTATATGTAATTGGTAAAATCATTAATTAACATTTATAAGTACATAAGTTAGCAATATGTATCCTTTATATTATATATGAAGTAATCAGTCTCATAATAGATAACTTTGGGTCGTCCGGTGTGATTAACCTCTTGGTGGAAGGAGAGAACATGCTCCTAAATGTTTTAGTTTTACTCCTGAAAAGTACATAAAATAAAAAATATTGACCTCAACCAGACTTTGGACTTATAGCGTGTCATTGACTGAAGCTTACATTTAATTTGAAAATTTAATCTGAATTCGGTACGTATCGTCGCGAGCAAAAAATTCTAGTCGTCAATGTCAGTGTCTGTCATATCATTATGTGTAAAAAAAATGACATTGATGATCAGAATTTTTTGCTCGCGACAGTACAACTATACAGTGCTTTTTTTAACGCTGGCCATAGGGATTTACTGGCTAAAATCTTTGGGTCGTGTTAATAAGTTTTCTAGCAGAGATTTTTTGTGAAATTTGAAAGAATATTAGATTAGTATTTTATAAATCAGTTTCAGTTCATTTTATCCTACAGAACAAAATAATTATAGCATTACAATAAAACTTAGCTTAAGTAAAAGGTAAGTAAACATTAGGTAATTTTTTACGTATCGCTAGACTAGAGAGGCCCTAACCAAGAAACCTAGTCTAATATTCTGCCAAATTTCACTTGAAGATTACTGCTAGAAAAGTCATTAACCCGATCCAAAGTATTTAGCATGTAAATCCTTATGGCCAGCGTTAAAAAAAAAGCATTTTACAAAATAATACATATATCTACGTTGAAAGTTAAGCTTCGGTATATAGTTACACTGAATGTAGATAAATTTCCATATTAAGTTTGTCAGTTTCTTTACAGAAAAAAAAATGGTATATAAAATAATAAGGTAAAATTCGATCAATCCACAGTTACATCACTGTTCAAATAAATTTAACTTTTACACAGATGATGAATTGGAGGCTTATTTACGCAAACTAAAACATTAAATAAAAACTACTAAAAGATCGTCTATTGCAAATTGATTGACTTACCAAGACAAGTTTTGTGTTGATACAACACACGTTCAGTCTTTTCTCATTAACGTCATTATAATTTACCCGGATTGCGTTTATAAAGCGGAGTTCACGATTTTTAAATTAATTATTATCAAAAATTATTTCAAATCTCAAGATGACTAACAGTGAACCCTCATTAAAAATGGTAAATGATTAAATTAGATAGTTACCACAATCTGTGTACCATACATTACCATTTTTAAAATTAAGACAACTGTTAAAAAAATGTCTCCCTGAAAATGTCTAAAATTTTATAGAAACAACGGAAACAATTTACTACTCATAATTAAGGCTCAGATTGTACGCAAAATGCATACTCCTTAAAATGCAGCATATTAAGAAAAAAAGATGTTTTCTGGCCATGTAATTTCTTTTTTTAAACAATGGACTTTAAAAATACATATTTTGCATAATTTTCAATCTCACTGAATATTTACCGATTAAGTGCATATTTATTCATTATTGAGTAAAATTTTCAAATTATACCTTTATTTAGTATGTACCAAGACATTTCGGTAGAATCTTTACCTGGAAAAAACAGTAATTATTAAAAGAGATCCTAATCCGAACTGGCGACATTCCGTTCATTTTGTCATTTGCGATTCTTAATTTTGTCAGTCCTTATTTTTGTACTGACAAGTGAACTTCGACTCCAAAATGTCAAAAGTTTCTGCAAGTATCCTCGGCTAGATAAAAAAAATTTCCCGAACTAGTGTTAGATGAAAATTCTTAATCTATTTTTTGCAGTGTGTGCTGTTAAAAGGTAAATAAGGTACCTAAATTTTTATCATTGCTTATTTTTGAATTTGTCACATTTATTTTTATTAGTACCAATTTCAAACAATTGCTGTAATTTATTGATATCTTATTGTTTTCAATTAAACGCGAAATGTAAAGCATGTACATTATCAATTAATTTTATTGTTCATGTCGCCTCTAAAAAGAAGCTTTCAATAACTCAAAGCATATTGGGACAACAAGCCTTCACAAAAATAAGCTGAAGAATTGTACTGATGTGAAGTCACAAAGCCTGCTCGCAGAATCTTTCTCCAATATCCAGAAGATGACAGATCAATAAGAACATTGTTTCGAATTGTGTGAATCATTCCTCAGTGCCAATATTCCATTATCAAAACTGAATAACCTCTAGCTACGATCATTTCTTTAAAAACGTACCATGAAGTCAGTTCTCGGAATGAGTACCTTAAGAAAAAACTACGTGGACAAAGTGTTAAAAAAAATGGTCTAAAGAGTTTAGATAGTAGTTCCCTCGCTGTGGGAAACGTGACGACTGCATGCCTATTATGTTTTTTTTTTCGCATTACATTTTTGTAGCGGGACATTTTAAAATAAATTGAATTAATTTTTTCAATTTTGTCATTATTTGTCATTGACATCTTTGTCACTTTTTTCTGTGATTGCGTATTATAAAAAAAAAAAATTAAATTGCACGAAGTCGTCTCTGGGGTGTATAATATGTTGCCTATGCAAAAATTGTCAGGTGTGCACAGATAAAGTGAACAGATAAAGTGAACAGATAAAATGAACACCCTGCATAGTACTTGTAATTTAAGACAAATAGCCATAACACTTATTTTAACTTGTAGACGTGACGGTGAAATACAAACGAAACTTAAACATGGTTTCTACGAATTGCAATAATAATAACCGGATGACAATGCGACGGTCCAGACTTTTTTATTGCTCTGAGTTCTGTTTGTTGAATAAAACACTACATTTTAGTTGGTTTTTGGATGCTGTAATTCACATTTGGTTAATTATAACTTGTCTATATCTAGGGGAGCATCCCCTAGCCTCCCCTAGCTACGGCCTTATGAAATATCGGGAAACGAGTACTAAACTGGAAAGTGTTTATGTTTATACATTGGAAGAATGTCACGTAGAAATTAATTTGATTTGAATACGTTCGACTCCTCAAAACAGAGAAACAAAACAATTAACTAGTAAGCTACAATCGACAAAATGTTCTGAATATCATTATTATAATTCTTATTAAATAAAGACGTTTGTATTTTCACATTTTCGAGAAAATGGGATGACTCGTTCTTAATTAATTTGATCAATAAAAAATATAAATGCTATGATGAATCACAAGTAAAAACTCATATTTTGCACATTTTGGGTAGAATTTATTCCGCAAAATTTTGGGATAACGTCATAAATTTTTTGGCGGAAATAAACAGATTTATTTGGATTAATAGTTTACCATGCTTACAATGACTTTAAAACGTCTGCAAGATTTCAAAGTATTCAGTTTTGCAATTCCTGATTTAATCAATAAAATTAATTGACTCAGTCATTTTTTTCAAACACCCCGTATAAGCAAATTTAAAAATATTAATGCAGTGATAAATCACAAGTATAGACTCATCATTCTTTACACATTTAAGATAGCATTTTTCAGCAAAATTTTGGGGTGACGTCATCAATTTTTTAGGGAGGATGAGCAAATACATTTCGATCAAAAATTTACCATGCTTATGATAAATCTAAAACATCTCCAAGATTTAAAATCATTCGGTTTTGTAGTTCCTGATTAAATCATTAACATAAATAAATTCACGCATTCATTAAAATTTTTGACTCACCCTATATATGCAAATCCAAAAAATATGAATGTAATGATAAATCACAAGTACAGACTCATCCTATTTTGTACATTTTAGGTAGGATTTATTTATTCGACAAAATTTTTAGATGACGTCATCAATTTTTTGGGATTGAAACACAGATACATTTTGATTAAAAAGTTACCCTGCTTACAATAACGTCTGCAAGATTTAATAATATAACATTTAATAATCAGTTGGTTTAATAAAAATTATAGCTAAAATACAAATACTCGTACTGTGTAAATAGCATGTTCTTACATATTTAATTTATTATAATTTGAATTCTTATACTGCAAATAAAAAGTGTTGTACTTTAACAATAAATAGTTAAAAATATCATTTTGCTGCATAATTTTAATATAAAGTGGTGCATATTTTGATCAAAAATTTGTGCATATTATGCGCTTTTTTTCGATATTTTGATGCATACAATCCGAGCCTTACTCATAATAGAATTGTTGCAGCGATTTTTAAAATTTTACAACAGTAAATTAATAGTGTTAACACTATTAACTGTAAGCGATTTGCTCTTTAGCAAATGCTTATGTAAAAACACAAAACCGCATTGTACTTAATTATTAGGAATATACCTCCTCAAAGATATGTTTATATAATTCACTATGGCCTGAACTGTTTTATTTTATCACTAAGTAGTTCAATAACGATAAAATTAAATAACTGACCTTGAAGGTTATTTTCTGTATGCCAAGACGATAAAAGAATGAGCGTTTCGAAATGTTTCATTTTCTAATTAACATGTACAGATTTTAGGTTTTTCCAAATAAATGTGTGATCATTATCTTTCAGAAAAGACTTGAGTAAAACAATGTTTGTTTCCTTACCAAAATTATACTAAAAAATATCTAAATATAAATCAGTTTTACATAACAACTGATTACGTAAAGTATAGTTTTATTGAATGATTTATCATAAGAATAAACTCGATATTTTTTATTTTTCGTGGAGAGCAATTAGTTTTTACACAATATACTCACTTTTTCCACACTTTTGGGCACAAATGAGCCGATGTCTGCTAAAATACGTCATGTCGTCATCCCCACAAACTGGATTATATTCAGGTGTCGATAAACATCGATCTTCACAAGGTGTTCTGGGGGTTCCCATTCCTGGGATAGCAACAGTTGAAATCGGTACCCTTGGAGTTGTGGGTCTTCTTCGTCGAGTTGTTGGCATTCTTTGTGTCGTTCTAACAAAATTTCTGTTGTCAAAGTCATCTTCAAAAATAAAACTATCACTTGAATCATCAGAAACTGAGCCCCATCCATTAAAGCGCCTCCTGTTAACATTATTCTGATTAAAAGATCCTGATGGGGAATCCCAATCGAAGCCACCGGAATTTATTTGCCTTCCTGAACGGCTAGCATCATCAAAATTATCAAAGTGTATGTATTTGTTATAATTATTTTGGGGCAGTTCGTAGCGGTTTTCATCTGAGGGAAGGTAGTAGTTGTGTGATGCGTGATAGGCAACGACGGATTGCACAAATGCAAATGTTACTGTGTACAAAAATTAAATTAATACATAGAAAATATTTAAGAATTTGGTACATACCTAAGAAACACTTAAAGATGTGTACTTGCTCAGTGTCTAAAGTTGACATTTTGCTAAGCTGTGGGTACTACTCGATTGAAATAAAAATACCGTGGGCTAAGTACTATACAACAAAAGCAAGATGTGGCTAGCGGCTAACTGGTTTAGCATTTATAAATATTAAGTTGTCTCCCATACCTCCACTAAACATGATGACTAAGATAACACTGTGGAAAGATCAAGATTCCTTTTCACTGTAAATTTGTACCTGAATTACTTAGCATTCACCTTGACTTTGACGATTTATGAAAAGTGGATATCGTAAAATAACAATAATGTGTATTGTTTATAATTATTTATTAGTAATTACCACTCAAAGGCGGTTAAAGCTATTAGTGATGTAATTTATAATAACTGATGATAAACACTTATTGCAAATAGATATAATCTTTTTTACGTCAAAAATGAAGAATAAAGTACTGGGAACGGCAGCAACATAAGATAAAGATGTGACGAATTTTTTGGTTTTTGATGTCAAAGTTTAATATTTCAAGTTAAAATTTATATTTTGAAGTCAGAAATTTTGAAAAACTTTAACACTTACTAAAATGATTTTAATCCCATTCTTACTTCCTCAGCGTAAGCTAAGGACGTATAGTAATCGCTAATCGACTCCATCGAGCGACTTGCCATTTTCATGTTCTGTCGACGTTTCGTGACCCCCCCTAGAATACGAAAAAAGTGATCTCTCGTTTCCGTCTGTCTGTCTGGCGTCTATGTCGACTTTTATTACATGCGTAATCTCTGAAACTACTTGACCGATTCTCGCCAAATTTTGTAAGTATATTAGCAATATCATACATATAGTGAAAGGCTAACCAAAATTCGGCTAATCATCCCCACCGCCAATTGGATGACGTCATCCCCAAAATTTAGAATAATATATTTTTTAAATGTTATAAAATAAGATACTCTTTCATTTGAGATGTATGAAACCGTATTGAGTTTTCACCCTAGACATCCGGATTTTTAGGAGAAAAAAATCAAAATTGTATAACAACATTTTGCAATTTAATTTGAAAGTGCAAATTAACCGAATGTTCTGAAATCTTGCAAACGTTTTAAGGTTATTCCAATCATGGTAAATCGAAAATCGCTATTCAAATTTATTCATATATCCACTCCTAAAACATTGATGACGTCATCTTAAAATTTTCCGGAATAAATCCTCTCTGAAATATACAAAATATTATGAATCTGTACTTCTTGTTTATCAGCGTATCCGAGTTGCATCCCCTACCTGAGTTTTCGATCTCAAAATGTCCGAATTAGGCACACTCAACTGTAGGAGAATGTTCCGAGATGCGCCCGCTACCTAGAAATATGATCACACCTACCCCGCTTTATTCTCCATGAAGTAGGTAAAATCTTATCGGAGGTTTTTTTTCATAATCTCAAAGTATGGTATTTTTCTTCCTTAAATAAAACCCAAATTTATATATAAATATAAAGACAAATTTGTTTAATATTTCGAAACGGTAAACCTGTAAGGATGACAAGAACTAAATGAGTTATTATATTTCGCCTGGAATGATTTGTAAGCATTTGTTGTTGCTCCTCAAAATTTTTCACTGTGGACCCAGATGATATGAGGGAACAACAGCCCATTACTATCTGTGTACAGTTCCATCACTTGAACAGTATCTAATAAAATTTTATTGGTATTTCAAAGTTAACCATGAAGGTTGTACCTACAATACCATAAATCACAAATTCAGTGCAACCCTGGATGTTTCTAGCCCACTGTATACTGGCGGCACGCTCCTTTTACTGGCGTCATTATCCCCCTGCATTGTCCGGAAAACTCTCAAAGTAGCGGTTGTAAAATTTTGCTAGGTACTGATGAAGTGTAGAAACTTTAGATTATATACAAATAGATGCACGAATTTATCATCATCAGACTGAGGAAAATTTGTTTCTATAAAACATAGCAGGCTAACACAATTTATCTACTAATTGAACTGAATATACATTTTATATATACATTTCAGGTAGGCATAGAGTAATATTACTATAAGAATAGCACCTCAGTAAAATTATGCATTCGTCAATTTATTTTTAGACTTCATTTCTGTGTTCATTTACATTTACGTAATTGAAATATCCTATATTGACGTCACAAAACACTGGATTTTCCAATGGAGGCTAATTTTTACCTGCATTGTAGGGTCTAAGAACGCTGTAAGGGAGCGTTCAGGTAGTAGGCGCAATTCGGACATCAATAGTGAATAGCTCTTTAATAAAATAACGATCACTAGTTAAATTAATAATTTTTAAAGTTTGGTTTTGCGAAATTTTTCAGGGTGACCGATTTTTTTTGCCAGTCAGTGTATTTTAAATCGAATAAGTTATAAATACTGTTCTAGCATTTGTAAATATTTACTTGTTACTTTAGTTGGTAAATTACACATTGTATTTTATTTTTTTTTATACAATATTATTATAATAATTAATTATGATATTTCTATATGATAAATAAAAAAAAAAGTATATTTTATAATAAACAACAATTGACAATACATGGATAGTTACTTTAATTAACCCAATCATCATCATTAGTCATCATTTTGTCAAAAAATACAAATGCAACATATTTTTGGTTTTTATTATTTTTTAAGAAAAAATTAATGACTGCGCCGCGTATACGTGTTTAATTTATATAAATTGACAACTCCAACCGTGCGTTCCTGGATCGACGCAATCTTTTTCTTTTTCTCTCGCTTTGTGTATAATTTATGTTTATGAGATCATAGCAAATTTTTTATTGATCATATTAAGCACGATTAGAAAAGGTGAGAATGCGTGCGTCTTTATTTAATAAAAAATATAATAATAATATTCAGAGCAATCTGTTGTGGCTGAATCAAAAATGTTGCTCTCCTGTTTTGAGTCGACAAACTCATTCAAATCAAAACAAATTTCTAGTGACATTCTTCCGATGTATAAACAAGCACTTGAAATTTTATTATTACTGCTGAGAGACCATTAATTTTTTCCCGTTAGTTATCTGCTTTAAATATATTTTATATTGTCCATAGTTGTGCAATTTGCACAATCCACTGCAATTTGCGCCCCCACAGCGCAAGGGCTGCGAACGTGTTAATTATGTCGCCGGTTTTTACTTTATAGAGGCTATCACAAAACAAACATAGCAAAATATAATTTTTCAAAGAAGCAAGGGAAGTTCTGTCGAAATAAACTTGGACCAATTTTTTTTAAATTGCTCATACAGGGTCATTAAAAAATTAATGAATGAGTCAATTTATATTATTGTTTAAATCAGAAACTACAAAACCGAAATTTTGCAAACGTTTTAAAGTTACAGTAAGCATGGTAAATTTGCAATAAAAAATCCAAAAAAAAAAACTGATGACGTCATCTAAAAATTTTGACGAATAACTCTTATTGAAAATGTGCAAAATATAATGAGTCTATACCTGTGACTTATCACGGCATTCATATTTTTTAGAATTGCTTATACAGGGTGCCGTAAAAAATTTAATGAATGAGTAAATTTATTTTACTGATTAAATCAGGAACGTTTCACTCCATTTTCCCGAAAATTTGGGACTGCAGTATTGTTATTATTAGTATTACACTGCACCTATCCAAATTGATGTATGTACGTGTCCCTGCTAAAATGTTGATGATGTCATCATTTAACATTACATACTTTATTTATTTTAACTTCTAGGGGTTCTAATAAAAAAAATAAAATAAAATTCGCAAATTCAAATTTTACAATTTTTTAAAAATCTGGATATGTTTTATTGTACTTCATGTTTTGTCGAAATAGTCTTCGACCAATTTTGTTTATTTTTGGGTCTCTTACAGTTTAACTAAAACACAGTCATTAAATCAAAATTTATTGAAAAAATTGTATTCGTGCAAAAGTTAAAATCAGACTTATAATGTACAGACAGGCAAGTGTTCGTAAAATAACAGCACATTATATTAAAGCGCCTGACATGATCCACCAAAAGCTCTTTGTACACCTGAAAACAAAATGTTAGTAGGTATCTCTTTTTTTTTTCAAAGTATTGATATTTACTGAGACCACACTGCTGGGCACATCTCAGATGACTTTCGTTGTTGTAAGTAATCCTATTTGTGCCACATATAGGGTTGTATTGCGGTGTTACTGGACATCTTCGTATACAGGTTGTATACTGGGGCGAAGCGGTGGTAGTTGTTGTAACACCACCACTGCCGCTTGTTGGAGTCACTGCTTGGCTTTGACGTTGAGTAGATGAATCTAGTCTGTCATCGTAATCTTCCCAATTAAAACCTTGTCGTCTGACTCGTGAAGGCACTGCTGATGATGCGATAACTGAAAGACGTATAATAAGTTAGATTGGATTAATTATTAAAAAATAGTAATCTGAACTGATTATAATGAAACAATTATGGTGTAGGTATTTAATTAATTAATATCGTTTTAAAACTTACCAAAAGCAGCAAAAAGTATTATAGTTAAGGTTTTCATTTTAATAATATTCTTTAATAACTGAGATAACTGTTGTAACTTATTGAGAGACCCAACAGTTGCAAACGACTAACTTTACGAGAATGCTGTTTCGAACTGGTGTCCGTCCTCTTTATTAGTGATTCTGATCTGGAATTACCACTTGCCATATCAGAACTCTTCTTGTTTTTCCAGAGCGATTTTCAAGGAATGAACTCTGATAAAATTGTTTACAAAAACAACAGAACACAGAGGTTAAGAAGATAAACATTTTGTATACATAAATACTTTTGTATCGGGGAATGGAATCAAAATTTGATACAATTAATAATAACCAACTATAATTTTGTTAGTAATTGATAATAATTAATTTACAATCCGCAGTTGGAAGTTATTGAAATTGCTAGAAAAATAAGTACATCCATAATTCTAAACGATGTTTAAACTAAATATTGTGTACCTACCTAATTGGTTGCCTGATGTTAACATACTATTACTCATTCCAGCCATTATGACTTTAACTTATTATTCATTCGCTGACAAATTTCCCTGTCATTAATAAAACTGCAGATTTATTGTGATGAAGCAAGCAGAACATAATATTCAATTAAAAGGTTTCTATCTTTGAGTGGAAAAACCAAAGAAAATATAACCGTTTTGTTGGATCAAGCTAACAAATTATACACTTGAATAACTTGCTATTTACTTAAAAAAATATGCGGTGTGATTTAACGGGGAATACCCTTCAGCCATTTGCTATAATAACTAACTGTATTTGGCAATGTCATGGTCTGAGACCTTTCATTCGTGAAGACGAGGTCAGCACGTCAGAAAATACATAGCATGCTTCACATAAGGTAGTGAATGAGAGGTCATGTTTAGTGTATTTTTGAATTCTTTTTTAACGTAAAGTTTACACAAAAAAATAATTTTAAAATGAATTTAAAAACTTCTACGACAGAGAAAATATTAGGCAACGCAAAATTCATGAAACTGCAAAATAAGTTTAACGTATATTACCAAATACTAATTTATAGTCGTTTCGTTTAGGATATACCTCATAAAATGTTATTATAATATTGACCTCTTTACAGGTAAACTCCTATTGTTGACAGTTTCAGTTAGAATCTACCTGGTTCTTAATCCAGGACCGGACTTGCCCGTATTGGTTATCTGGGTAATTGACAGTCAAAAAATAATAGGAGTATATATTAAATAATTATCTCTAATAAGTATATATATATACCTATATCGTTCTAAGATTGATCGTTACTCGAAATATCAGGATCTCCTGTATCCACATCAATTTACAAATAATCTGAAATTCAGAGAAAGAATGGCGTTTAGAAAAATCTACTGCTGGCCTACAATAAATCATCTGACACGTGTCGTCCATGACACGGACCGACCAGCCTCTTGTAAGATGGAGTCTATATAATTTTTTTTATAATAATAATAACATAATAATATCATTTATTGACGGTTCGTGGTAACCAGTTACAACACAGGAAGATATAATTTAAACAATTTTTGAATTAAACGATTTTTTTTTAAGTATTGCTGCAGATGTTCCTACAAAATCCAAATCTTTGCGTAAATAAGTTGGTTTACATAGCCGACAGTGGGTAGAATTTAAACCATACGAGGTCCTATGAAATGGAATATTTAAAAGATGGAAAGATCTACCGCAACGATTAGGAACATGTAGATAAAATATTTTATTTTCAAACGTCATATAACTGACACTTATATGGCGCTCTTACCGGGGTTTAAGTGTCATTTCTATGACACCGTGTTTGAGCGGCGTATAAGTACTGCTTATACTCCGCCGGCGTATAAATGAAGCATTTATACTCCGCCGGAGCATAAATATGTGAAAATCATAGTCGTTGTCAACCATAGTAACCATGGTAAGTGAAATCAAGGCAATTCCTTAATGAAGCAAGAAGATGGGAAATAATCATTTCAACAAAAGATTAATCGTTTGAAAATAAAATATTGTATTTCATTCGGAGTTTAAGTGACTTTATGTGACTCGTATGGACTTAATTCGCCTCGCTATTGCTCGGCGTTTAATCGTCCATACTCCGTCACATAAAGTATCACTTAAACTCCTAATAAAATAAATATCTATGAAGAACTGTAGAACAATCAATAACGGATGATAACACTTTATAAATAAACAGACATTCAAACATACATCTACGGGTCTCCAGCAGCGATAAACCGAAATATATTAAGCTATTTTTCCGGTGATCGTTTATTAATGAGGCGATTAATGCATGATTTATGTGCGAAAATCATGCATGATTTTAGGCAATCAGATATACACGTCCTTACGTGAAATTTCATAATACTGAATGTTAAAAATTTCCCAAATCAAAATTCAAAATGGGAAATTGCATAGAAATGGATACCTTAACTCTTCCGGAAGTAGAAAACGCAAATGTGTGTCACTAAATTTACTTCCAGAAAGGACCAAAATGCTTTACCAAAAAACCTACGATGAGTCTGATGCTTGGTGCGCCGGAAAGCTGGTTGTAAGGTATTCAGAATTCGTATTACTTACATCCTCCTCAGAAATTTCCGAAAAAGCCTTAATAGCACGCTTGTTGCCAAAGTATTCTATGCTTCGATCCACTTTATGCATCCATCATGATTTGGACATATCCAACTAATGTTTATTCATAAAAAATTTTACTTGTATGTTTGGTTGCATAACTCATATTTTGAATTTTCAATAATTTTTCTAAAATTACGATCACCGGAAAAGTATTGTAACTAACTCGACTGTTAATTGGCGATTAATAATAATCTCGACCATTAACGCGCTCGTTCCTCGCGCGTTAAAATATCTCGATTATTAATCGCCTTTATTAACAAACTTGTTCGTTAAATAGCTATTCATAGTTGTCACTAGAATAAAAAATATTAAATTTACAACATCAACATTTAACAAATTTTTTTCTGTACTTTCTCAATTCCGTCAATATAAATATTATAAAATGGAGACCAGATGACAGTACAATATTCTAAATTTGAATGTACTAAAGAATTGTAAAGTATTACCAACGTCCGCGTATTATTAAATTCAGTGCATGATCTTAAGATAAAACCAAGGAGCTTATTTGCCTTGGAGAGCATTTTATTAATATAGGTGGAAAAAGTTAACTGATGATCAAGAGTGATTCCTAAATCATTAAATTCTTTCACATTTTCTAATTTATTATCGGAAATAAAATAATCATAGCAGCTACTAATTACCTTATGGCCAAATCTTAAGACCTTGCATTTAAGTATATTCAAATTAAGATTATTTAAAGTACACCAAACAGTTAATTCGTTGATATCATCTTGAATGAGTTGACAATCTTCAATTTTAGAAATTTTTAAATATAACTTTAAATCGTCAGCAAAAAGTAAGATTTTACAATTCTTTATAACATTTACTACATCATTAACATATAAAATGAACAAGATTGGGCCTAGATGGGAACGTTGGGGCACACCCGATGGAACGTGAATTGCGTTTGATATAATTTCGTCAATTTCTACAAATTGTTTTCTACCAGTCAGATATGATTCCAGGCGCGGATACAGGATTTCGTTCAGGGGGGGGGGGGGGGGGGGGGCAATTTTTGTGCAATTTTACCATCTACCAGAAATTCGTTCTAAACAAAAAAAAATTATAAAATTTTAGCTAGTATACTCTTTTTCACATAACATGGGTGACATTTGGTTCTTTTCATTACACGTATAGTGTGCAGTAGAACTTCGATAATCCTAATTAATTGGGAAAAAGGTGTGTTCGGATTAACGATTTGTTTGGATCAGCAATTTTCCCAAAAATCTGAAAGGTAATTGAATAACAACTTCATACACAACTGAAAACCACGGCCAACTGTATTAATACATATGGCCATCCCAATTCGTATAAAAAGTTGATTCTTTGACGTTTCCAGAATCGTTAATCAGGCAACGACATCTGTTGAGTACAATTATGAACTTGGTTGGCAAATAATTGTCAAAATGACGTTTTAAAATATCACGTTTTTCTGAAAGTGTAGATAATGGCACAAGAACATTAATGATATTACTCATATTATTTAGTTTTGAAATAAGATAGATATATTTTTACAAAACGAAAATTATTTAACAAAAAGGAAGGTACATATTCATAATTTTAAAACTTTTCTGCTGGTAGGTTTGTTACAGATCGTTATTTTCTTCAACCAGTCTGTTTGTTCCAAACAAATATTATCAATAACTGGTTTCACTGTTGCTCGAATAATTATATCACAAACTCTTGATTTATGTTCCAAGCAACAAAATAATGGATTTTGGTCCAAAGAAGGATGGAGCAGATTACATATTTGTTGACATGTCTTTTTGGAGTTTAAAAACGGCAACATTTTTTGAGTGACGTCAGCCACTTCCTTCACAATGCCTACGAAATATGCATTGGGATAGGTTAATCCACCTCGATCCTGTAACAGGATGAGTCTTAATAGCGGACCAGGAACCTCTTTGGACAACAGCGGCGCAAGGCAGCTGTCGCAATGAAATTTGTCGTCTAATTACTTTAAAATGTAGCCAGCCAAAAAGGCTACAGATGCCGATGAAATGTTTGCACAGGGTTCAATTAATTTACTTAGGTTTTGAATCTTTTTTTTTTGAAAGGTACATCAAAATTTTCTTTGTCTTGTTTTGTATCATGATCCAAAACCGAGAATTTTGCAGTACTGACAAAGTCTATATTGGAAACATTAGATGATTTGGAACACTTAACAATTCCGCAGCGGAGCATCTGACGCATTGCATATTCTGCCGCTCTGGCATCCGTTGCATCATTGGAGCCTCCTTTTAATCTCACGTGTGAGAACGTTGCTTCCACCGCATCGGCGCTAAAGGAACGCGTAAGAACATAGTAAAAGCCTGCTTGTTCTAATAAAAACTTAACACACAAATATGTACTTCTGGCAATAAATTTTAAAGCATGTGCAGTCTCTTGAGTGAAACCACGAAAACCGGTGCTAGCAGTATTTGATAAGATAAAACTGATTTTCGCACTTTTGACATTTTCAACTATTTTTCATTTATTTTCGAAAATTAGCGAAAAAAGTGA